CCGACCTCAGGTAAGAGTCGCTCACGAGAGAAATAAAAATAAATAAATTATATTTTTCTTCTGCAGTCTACCCATTCAAGCGAGAGTGCCGTATTTCCCAGCAATACAGCAGCGCTTATTAGTTTTTTTTTTCCAAACCAATATGTAGATTATCATTGCTGATGTAAGCTGGAAGTACATTGATGTAAGTTTAATTTAAACTTTCATTTCCTCTAGCTAATTTACTAGGTTCTCTCTTCAGATATTTTGTCTGAACTGTTTTTAGCTAGTGCTCATAAGAGCTATGTTTCAAAGGAAAATTGTATTAAAAAAAAACAACAACAACAACAACAACAAAAACAAATATATGAATGAAGAGGCCACAACGATTCTGCCTGGGTTAGCTGGAAAGATGGTAAAATACTGCCCGCTCCCTGGACCAAACAGATTGCAGCTTGGAGAATTCGGCCCACTCGCAAGCTTAGAAGGAAATGATCTAGTTTGAATTTTTTTTCTTCAGTTTTTTATCACCTCCAAAGAGTCCTTCCCTAAATGCTCAAACCGTGGTGTTTTTCTCACCCTTCCATGAACACTTTCTAATAGTCCGCACCTTAATATATATGGCGTTTTATCACCCCTCTACACTTCCCAATGGTCTCTCTCTTAACGTTCAAAACGCTGTGTTTTACCCACCCGTCTATCACTTCCTAATTGTCCGTCCTGGAGTGTCAAAACGCATGGCGTTTTACCCACTCCTCCATCACATCCAAATGGTCCGTCCCATAATGCTCAAACCATAGTTTGTTACTTAAGTTTTTACGTATAATCGTTATCAACTTCTGTCTCCCAGGCTCTTAGACGTTCACGACTTGATCTAGCAGTGTAACTTTCCATGATGACTGCTTCTTCAGGGAAGGAACCGGAGGCTGGAGTCACTTTGATGGTTCTCTTCTTTGTTTTGACACTAAAGAAGAAAGAGACGAAATATATTGGGTCAGTAGCGCTTTTATTTCTACCGAGGAGTACCCCACAATTTGCCTTTAGTGATATATGTTGCGGATTTTTTGACTCTAACAAGAGATATCTACCTTTGCACTTTCCTACCTTAGAAATGCTCCGATCAGAATTTAATTATTTTTTATTTTATTTTTATTTTTTACTGGGTTTTCTTATAGCTCTCAACACCTAAAGAATATATATACAAAACAGTAAAATGTCTTTTTATTTTGTATTTTATATTTTAGTACCGTGTTTTGTAATACTGCAAATCCGGCTGTCATAGCTACTACTACTTTCTAAAGATTGTCCCAAAATCTTGATGGAATACGATTTAATTGTTTTCCAATTACGTTTGTTGACCCATTCCGCGTGCCAGTGTGACGTCACACAACAACGAGCGAGTGCTTCCTGTCGTTTTTAACTGAACACACATTGAAAGTTGTTAACAAAGACTCGGTAACTAACAGTGGAGTCGCATCTGCTTCATAATACAAATATGTGGAGAAGTACCACTGGAGTTGAGGAGGAACCTTTGTCTCAATAACTGGCTTTTTTAAAAACTTACCAGAAAGTAAGAAAAAACCTACCGCCAAATTACGATGACGACGATAAGAATAATGGCCACTACTCCAACACTAACACCAATTACAATCCATTTCCAGTTGTTGTTTTCACTTTCCTCGATAGGTTTTCTTGTTGTCGTCGTCGTCGTTCCGGTTGGTGTGAAGAGAGCTTTTATACTGGATATGTTTGCCCCAATTGCGCCCTCAAGCTCAGACTTGTATAATACGACGATATCAACCAAAGTTTTGCTAGGTAATACTGAGTTATTTCCGGTAAATAATCCTGGCGGCTGCTGCACGTAAAAAGCCACAGCGCGGGAGACTGAGCCGTTGCTAGGATACCCAGGCAGAAGGTGGACATAGTCAGCAACGTAGAGTTCAAAATCAAGAGCACGTCTAAAAATCAACAAATAGGCAAAAATTCTAACTGCTATTTTCGCTCTTTTTTTAAAAAAATACTATTGCCAATTGTAGCCAAGTCAACAACACAAAGCGAGAAGCCTACGGCTGCGGACCAATAAAAGTGTCGACCCGAAAAAGCCATGAAAGTTAAGCCACATCTCCTTTGCTGGTATCCCTGGTATTTAAAAAGGCAGTAGGTGGGGAGGGGGGAGCTGATTTTGTAGCGGAGAAAAATCTTAAGGAAAAGAAGTGACAACGGACAACCAACTCAACCTAGATATAACCTGCCTAGCAGTCGTTTCCGTTTCCGTTTTCGGAGGATACCAGCTCCTTTTTGTCCCACTATGGAGCTTCCCCCGCGGTTCTACCGCTTCGCTATAAAGAAACTGTCATACGGGCTAGCCGCACATATATGACGTCGACGCCGGTGAACCCGAGGAGCCCGTGCCACATTGCTAGGAGGCTAGTGCTCTCACGACTGCGCCACATTGCACTTCTAAAGAAACAAGATCAACGGCTTAACGTTCCTATACAATGAGGCGCACCCGAACTGAGTCAAGATGCATCCTGTAAGATCTTTCAAAGTTCTAAAATCCCTGGTTGAAGTTCCTCCTGGGATTTAAACCCCCGACTTTCCGCTTAGCTGACCGGCCCTTATTCAAATGAGCTAAGCGGGCAGCGATGTGAAAAAACAGAACGATAATATATTGTATCCTCTTTTACATGCACAGACGATGTATTTACCTGGTGCGTCTTTCCTCCTTCAGTCCACAGTCTGTCCTGTTCTCGGTGCAGTAGCTGGTGGTGATTAAAGCCGTTTTTTCTTTGAAAGACTTGTCAGTATCGAAATCCCATTTAAACTGTAAAGAAAGTTAATACGTTAGGAGTTATATGAAATGAAGTCTTTTTCTTCTCTGTGTTACTGTGGCCGTTCCTGCCTACACCTACTTTTCCTGTGTTTAGATTTTTTGAATACCAGTGAATGATGTTTTTTCAGAGTTTAGATGAATACTTTTTTACATGCATTTACACAGACACTGAGGGGAAGCCACAGAAAGTGTCGGCATTAACGGGGTGTCCATATTAAGAGGGTTGATAGTGTTATTTTCAATACTCGAAAATGTATACCTTTTATTGGAACAAACCGTCCCGTTTTAAGAACAAAATACTACGGAAGTTAAATATGACTTAAGACAAGAGAACACATGCTTTAGAATCGTCATGAAACGTCACTTACATACAGAAACCCCTCGAATGGAAGAACATTATGCCGGTGGAATCACTCTAAAGTCGCTCTTGTATATTACTTAATCAAAAACAGCACTCTAAATAACTCAGAAATTGGCGTCTAGCTAGATTTTATCTTTTAGTAAAATCCAGCTAGTGGTCTATTATCAATGCTGCGTTCTGATTGGTTGAGCTACTACTATGCTATATGTTATAGCCTACTAGTAGCGAAAAGCGCGCGCTTTTTGGTGGAAAAAAAGGATTGAAGTCTAGGTTTAGCTAGCTAACATTTTTTTTTCTCGATATTTTTGACCAACTAGTTGGATTTTACTAAAACACTTATTCCTCTCTCTCTCATGGACTCCGAGTCAATAGCCCATTCGACGCGTATTGCAACTCCCTGTCTAGCGTAACACGCTAGCCCATCACTTAATTATCCCCAGCACTGCATTACCAATACTCATGCTTACAAAGGGCCACTGACCAGGAAACAAAAGAATTACAAAACTGAATTAAACTATTTCTTACGTCGTTACTGGCCGCAATCGTAATCTCTACAGCATGTTCCTGTTCTTTTCCATTTGGCTGTCGAGGCTCTTCAAGCTTAGGAATTGGAATAGACTCATTTTTTTCCAAACCTGTAGAAGGAAAAACCAACAACGTCACTCTTTCGCAAGGTCTCTAAACAGCTAGCTGTTTGTTAGTTTGGAACAAAGACATGATATGGGTGTCTCATTAAAAGCTTTTTAATACATAAATGGAAACTAAGGGTCAGGGCTGGTTGCCATGTCAGCGTATCTAAAGAAAGGTAAACCGCTGTTTTGTCTAAGTTCCTAGGTCAAATAACTGTCTTTGCCGAGGGGAAGTAGAGGGGCTGGAGGGGGAAAGAGAGAGTAGGGAGCAGAGTTATGGGCTTGAAACCTAGAATAATCATAAAAAAACATTTTCACTTCTGTGAGACATCGTGAATGGTTTGAGCCCAGGAACAATGCCATAAGTAAGAGGAATATGATCATAGTCCGGGCGAGTGTAGTTCTGAATAGGACTGATGAAGATTATTTCGCAAAGAGTAAGCATTTACATAATTACAATACCCGTTCAGCTTCTAACATACACATAGGTTATCAAAGAACAAATTATGGCAACTTCTCAGTGAAATTCAGAGGAGCAAAATTATGGCACAATCTACCTGAAAACCTACGAAATCAGAAATCTTATGGCCGATTTAAAAAGATGATTAAGACAAATATACAGTATCACTTAAAGTAAGTATCAGGAATCGACTAAAATTGATAAGCTTGAATAATTTTATAAAGAGCGATAGAATTATATAGTACAGCGCCTTTGTATGTTGAAGTCGGGGATCTCCTCCGAAAAGCTCAGCAGAGCTTGCCTGCTCATGTATACTATCAAATACCGTACGTAAAACATTTATTTTACAATGATGGGCGAATAAAGAAATCGTAGCGCAGGTGACTCGAGCTTTGACAACATATCTGGAAGTCATCATCTTAACTGGCATATTACCTCTGCATTTTCCATCAATAAAGTACAGGTTTTGACCACATACACACTTGTACGAACCACGAGTGTTAACGCAAATGTGGAACTCATCCGTGCAATTGAATAAATCATCATTCACACACTCGTTTATATCTGTATGACGTCAAAGAAAAATAACAATAATCAGTTGAACTACTCAGCATTTACCCTTAGACAGATTGCAATGCTCCTCTCATAAAAACTGGCAAAACAAATAACGATGGGATGGCAAAGGGGCTCATTATTATTTACTGGATTTAAAGTTCGTATTTTACAGATTGCAGGCTGCAGTAGGAAGTTAAAGATGATTGGAGACTCGCCACTAGTATCATTCATCTTCTTTAGAACCCACATATCACTTGTTCTGTCGGTCATACTCGGGTGCAGTTCATTGTGAACTCGATTAAAGTGGTTTGGGCTCTCCTGGAGAACACAACGACTTCCCAAAATTGAAAGAACGAAAGACGTTTCGAAAATAAAAGCACGTCAGAGAAGGCGATCCCCAACAAAAAGGCTAAGTTAAAATAACCCACCACCTCCATACCTTCACACGTGTATCCATCGTTGCTTAATTCGAACCCCTTCTCACAAGAGCATTGGTAGCTGCCTGGAATATTTTCACAAATCTGATTGCAACGTTCAAGAGATTTCTCAGGGTCGCACTCATTTATGTCTGCGAAGATAAAATATGTAAAAAATGGTTTTAATAAATAAATTTAACTGACTTTAACAGACATTTTCTGCACTGTTGCGGATAGTAAGGTCTAGATCTGGCCCCAGTGGTTCAAAAGCTGGATAATGCTATCCACTGGATGAATCTCTATTCAGTGCCGGGATAACACAAATAGTTTGACTAATACGTATCGTATTAGCATCGTGTTCTTTTACAAAGCGCTTCAAAAACCAATCCAAAGACAAAAAACACTACTTTCCTTTGACTCAAAACTGGCGCCCACACATTTAAATTTGAACAGGTCAAGCCTAGAGGCTTTTTATTGTCGCGCCACTTTCGCCAGTTTCGTATGTTTTCCTGAAGTTCTGATTAGTTTACAGTACTATATGTACTTGTTATGACTGCACAAAATATTTTGATTTTATCGACAATGGTATTTTTAACAGTTCAAGCATATCGCGTACTTAAATCCTGGTACAGAGGTGGGGTCCAGAACAAGGGTTTCGGTGGTGTTTCGCAGACGGACTTTACTAGAGTTTAGTTTCGACTGTGGCGCAGGATACTCGAAACTACTCAACGGGCGAGATCTGCTTTATAGAGAACATTAGCAGAACTAAACGTCCCTTTATCTCCTGAACTTGAAATAGGCAATTGAGGAAGGGAACTTGACATCGATTGAGGTAGGCATGTTTTAGCTTGTTTTTAAACTAGGAATTGTTTTAAATGAATGAGAAAAACAACTAGTGGATATGGCTTCGTATGGTTTGAAGAATTATGGAGATCGCTGATCTCGAACGGTGTTGTACCTCCTTTCCACGATCTCCATAATTCTTCAGATCACACTCAGCCTCATTCAATAATCGTTAAATATGATCACATAAGCAAACAAGGAAGCTTATTTACGTGCGCCGGTAACCTGCGTAGCAAGCGTTTCCGTTTGATTTTGGAGCAAAGAAAGACCTAGGAACGACGATCCTTGTTCTTTGCTCCGAAACCGCATGAAGACGCTTTCTACGCTGGCTTGAGTGCCGGTCAATTTAGTTAGCTCAGTGACAACTAGCATACAAAAGTCGGTAAGGGGCTAATTTACATGATACCGGAATGCCGCCTTTCATTCTGGAACGAGTTCATTCCATCTCCATATCTTTCTCTGTATTTGTTTACATTTCTTTCTCATACAAGTCATTCCACAATGAGTTCACGGTTTTCAGTCCGAATTAAATTCTCGTTCTGGTACAAAATTTCATTCTGGTATCATGTAAACTGACAACGAGCTTTGTTCCGGATTGAAAATCGCAAACGTGTATTGTCGGGCGAGTGAGGCATGCGTATCTGATCTGGCGCGAAAACCACGAGACTAAGTGAGCCATTTATCCGGTACGAACTTCACTCTGGAACGAAAATCATTCCGGAATGAAAGTCATTTCGGTATCGTATGCTAAGAACAGCCCCTAAAATTTCAAGACTTGAGATTCCATGCCCTCGCTCGTTTTATGCTAAAAGCATTTTGCGTACCATTCCAGGGAAGAAGGATGTTTAAACAGTTTCGCAATAAAATGACTAAGCCAGTACCTTTGCATGTTTTCTCATCAGGCTGTAGCTCGTAGTTAGCGAAGCAAACGCATAATGGTTGGTTGCTGGCTCCAGTGTAACAATCATGGTCACATCCAGGATCTGGAGAACAAGGATTCTTGGCTACAAATGAAAAAAGTAAAAAAAAGATAATTATTGTATTGAGTTGGATGCTATGCCATGAGTGGGATAATAGGCAATAGTTTAAAAAATAAGATACTGAGTTTTTTTAAAATTTCCTACTTTACAAGGCTACTCTTAAAAGGCCTTGGACGATCACTTGTCTGGACGATAGTACTTACCTTCACATTTTCTCCAGTCGTTAGGGTCTGTTTTAAAAAAGTCTGCATCACACGAACAGTTGTAGCTTCCTTGAGTGTTGGTACACGTTTGCATGCAGTCATTTGTTGGTACACATTCGTTTATATCTACAAAAATAAATTCTAAGTTACACCAAGACAACTTAACTTAAATTTTCTTAGTGAAACAACATTCCAACTTTGAACAGCATATACCTCAAGCTCGGTCAGGCAACCGATATAATGTGTTATCGACCAGGCAGGAGGTCAAGATGATTGGATATTGGCCGAGTTTTGTGTGCGTTTAAAAGAATCGAGGGGAAATCAACTGGTTAATAACAGGGAAGGGAAAGCTTCTGGAAGCAAACAAGTAATTGTCATGAAAGATTTAAATCATCGTGGATAATGTGTATAAAGGGTTTAGTTTTATCGTTTGTCTCACGATTGTCACTTCGAAACTTCGTCGTTGCTTACAACAGCATGGCGTACGATCTGTTTTCAATTCCGATACAACACTAAGATGGCACTTAGTGCGACCTAAGCATCCTGTGGATCCACGAAAACAAAATGGAGTAGTGTATAAGATTCCTTGTGAATGCGGCAAAGTATAGATTGGCGAAACAGGAAGGTACATGCATGAGCGGATTATAGAGCACGATAGGGATATACGGCTTTCACGAACTCAAACTTCGGCCGTTTCTGAACACGCCAATAAGATCGGGCATTATCCGCTATTGGAAGAAGTTAAGTTTATTGACCGAGACCCTCACTGGTAGTCTCATAGAGTTAAGGAGGCTATCCACATAAGACTTCACCCTAACAACATCAACAGGGACGGTGGAATTGAGATTCCTGAAGCGTGTATGCCTAAACCCAGACAACATGACAACAGATCTCCACCGCAGCGGACCAACGAGGGATCAGTTTCGTCCTCTCACAAGGCCAAAATTGCTTTGGATCGAAACCCACCAACTATGAGCGGGGTTTGTGATACACCAATCACTAACAACCCCGGTGGTACAAATAGTTCAATAGTTAAATCGACACTATCGCCCAATGAAGTCCTGCGGAGTGCGGTCGAAACGTCGCGGTCAATATCAAAGTGACAATCGTTAGACAAACGATAAAACTAAACCCTTTATTAAGAAGTGATTGTACATCATGCGATCACTAAGAAAAGATGGATATACGCATGCGCAGGTATTAGAAATGGATCAACCCTTTGCTATGTTCTGTCATCAAGAACGCACCCATAATGAATAGAGACAGCCCAGCATCGATTTAAACAACATAAAATGTTTCAAAAAAATGCACTGAATAAGCTACGCTACCCTTCTAAGTTAATTAATATCTACAACCTGTAAGAAAAGTTTCACCGCAAGTTTTTCACAAAAATTTGCCAATGTCGGCCACCAATCACTTAACGCCCTTTCGCCGAAATCCAAAGAGTCATGAAAGAGGCTAAGACCACAAGCAAATGAATTACCACGAATGAACAGAGACCGTTTTAAGAATAAGTAGTGAGACGTCATCAGTATAGAATTTCTGCACTCGTTCCTCAGACGTCATTTGAGGGGAAACCATTGGTGGAGTCGCGAAATGTTGGCTGTTTTCTCAGGGTATGGTAATCGTAGGAAACTGAGTTTCTTTGTTTGATTTTTCTTTACTCTTGATTCGGTTAATAAATATCGTTTGAGGTAACCTCAAAAACACCGTTCATTTCTTTTGCATAAGGTAGTCAAGTGACATTGGTATAAAGTTGGAGATCACATAGTTTTCTTAACTGGTTTTGTCTTAAAAAAGAAATAGGAACTCTGTACGGATCATCAGGTAAAAACCGACTTTTTAGTCCTTACAATTCAAAATACAGTCATTTCAATTAGTTTTAATTTCCTGTTAACGCCATTTCAGACAAATTAGGACTTCTTTTGAAACCTGGCTTTACACAATATTAATTTGCAAACACGTTCTAGTTTCTGACTGGCAAAGCTTGTTAGAATTAAAGAATTACGTTTAATGAAATTACTTTCATGAAAATTAAGAAAGAAATATTTCTAAAATCCAGAAATAAAAAATAAAAAAGTCAGGAAATATGTTTAATAAAGTGTTACCATCGCAGCTATGTCCGTCTGCGTTTAGTTTGTATCCTTTGCCACAATCACAAGTGAAAGATCCCGGTACATTCACACAGTCTTGTTCGCATATATTTGATGTATTACTCTGGCATTCATTGAAATCTAAGAGAAAAAGAAATGGCAAAAACAAACAAACAAACAAACAAACAAAAACAGAAGATAAGAAAAAAATTAAGACATAATCGATACAGCAAAGCTAGTTAAGCCCATAGAAACTATTCAGTTTGCTGCTAGAAATTATTCCTGTACAGCTATGAGGAAGAAAGTGAAAGATTTTTAGAAGGAACCGAGGAAGTGTGGGTCGACGGCGGGCCCACGACATCCACGGAGACCCAGGGGCAGATAATGGAGGCAAGGGAAAGTCTAAACGGGCGGGAAAATATGGCACGAAGAAAAGTAAAGAACGGCGAGAAGAGCCCCTGGGGACAATGTCTTACCAGACCAGTTCCAAACGGTCACCGCCGTTCTGGCTTCTGATTGGTACCAGAAAACTTTTGTGTTTTTCTGCCCAATCAGAAGCCAGAATGGCGCCGACCGTTTGGAACTGGTCTGGTAAGACATTGTCCCCAGGGGCTCTTCTCGCCGTTCTTTACTTTTCTTCGTGCCATATTTTCCCGCCAGTTTAAACTTTCCCTCGCCCTCACTATCTGCCCCTGGGTCTCCGAGGATGGGCCCACGATGGAGCTCTGCCCACTCAGTGAAGTAGCACTCACTCGAGTATTATTTTTTACAATTTCTTTTGTGTTGATGATGATGAATATATGAATTTCATATATATTGGAACCGTGGAATAAAGAAATTAATGCAAAAAAGATCATCGCAGTTAAAGACGCAACTTATGTAGTTGCAAAATGGAAGCTTTAAAAATCAGGCTTGACGGGATCCTGACCTACGCGATACCACTGCAGCGCTTTAACTAATTGAGCCAGCAAGCCAACTAGCAGCTTGTCATTAAATTGGTCCGTTAAATACCTAAAGCTACGTGCAACAACTTCCAAAATTGTTGGGCCAACAATTTTGGGAGTTATTGCGTCCGTGTTAGCAGTGGTGTGCAAACGGATGCAACAACTCCCAACAATATTGGGACCTACAATGCATCGTGAAAGGGATACAACCTATTTGACTTTGGAGAGAGACTATGTGCAATGCGCTTCCGTGGCCCCAACAATGTTGGAAGAGCTGTGCAAACGGATCCAACATTGTTGTGCCACGCTTCGGCGACCACGGAACAAAAGAAATATTGGGAGTTGTTGGCTCAAAAGTTTGACCGGTTTCAAACTTTGAGCAACAACTCCCAACAATTCCCAACAGCTGTGCAAACGGATGCAACATGAAACATCCAACAATTTGGGGCAACCGTTCACCCGGACGATCAAACTCAATCTTTTGAATTTAGGAGTTGTTGGCCAATATTGTTGAGTCCGTTTGCACGGGGCTTTAACGAGCAAATAGGCATCATTATACAACTAATCAGCAATAATTCCAGTCTGCTAAAACCAGGCTACGTTGCCCTGGATGCACCTACCAGCACATTGCGCTCCATTTCCGGTAAAACCTGTTGGACAGGGTCCACACGTATATCCACTAACATTAGCTGGTGCTGGAAGGTCAGTGCAATTAACACCTGCATAACACGGCTGACCATTCATCTCGCAGGCATCAATGTCGCTATCACAGAATCTTCCTGTGTATCCTCCCTGACATGCGCACCCCATATACACGAATTTGCTGTCAGTGTTGACTTCGTCACCTTCTTCTGGGGGCACGCACTGACCTCCGTGGTCGCAGGCGCACATGTTAATCGTGGGACTCCAGGTTGCACTCGCTCCTTTATCGTCAGTGGCAACGAATGAAAGATTAAACTGAAACAATGGAAAAAATGTCATCATCTTTTCTAGCATTGACTAATAAGAAAATGATTTTTTTCTGTCAGTGACAACTAGGTAGGTAACTAGAAATATGTGAATCGCAGGACTTCGTGTAGCACTTCGGGCGAACGGCAAGGAGTAGGAAGAAAGGGAAATAAGGCAACAGGGATGAAAACTTATAAATTTAAGAAACTTACACTATATAAAGAAACAAAACAAAACTATAATGACTAAAAAAAACTAAACGAAAAGGAAAAAGAAAAGAAAAGAAGTGAAAAAGAAAAACAGCTTCCACCCCTGCGCGCACGCGACGAGATTATAAACTCTCTTCGCGAGGAATAAGACTGAGTGGATTCAAGTGCGCGCGCGATGGTGCGTACTCTCCAATTACTTAGGCATGACGTGTACCGTCCTATTACACTGCCTTATTAATGCTAAAATCAGGACAGTTGATAGCCAATCAGATTTGAGAATTGTGTTATGGTTAAGATTAAGAAAAACTTGAAAGCGAGAAAAACGTCAAAAAATTGAGTTTTAATGAGCGAAAACAATGCCACCGTGGTTACAAGCTTAGGATAAGTACAAGTACAAAGCCTTCCTTAGAATCTGAACGAGTTAGTCTTATGCGGCAGAGTATTCAAGTTAGAAAATCTTCAAAAGAGTATATAAGAACATGAATTATTTTCGACATTGCTACGTTCTTTTCGTTGTTTTTTAAATTCCCTAAATCAAATGATCATTGAAATTGAGGTTTTACTGAAGAATGACAACAAGCATAATTTAATTTTTTGTTTTGGTATAAACTTCAAAGCCATCTAAGCGAATTCCCAAATACTGAAAATAATGTTTTTGGTCCATTTCAACTCTAGGGGAAGTCCTCCATGTTTAATTTCCTCAGTTATTCAGGTCAGTACATCCTACCCTTTTTGTTGATGTGACAGACCAAGTAAAGAGAAGTACATTTCCACTTGTGTTCACGATGGCGCTTGATGGTTTGTTAATCACACGGAATGTAATCGTGTCTTCATCATCTGCTGTAATATTTAGCTGAACTTTTTCATGGAGCGTGACGTTTATCGCACTTGAAACATTTAGTATCTTGGGTGGAAAGTTGTCTGCGTAAAAAAATGTTAAAGCATGAAAAGAGAGGGAACAAGATTTCTAACTCATTCAACTGATAGTTGGCGAAGGAGTTATCTGGACTGACTTTAAGTATAATTTTAACAAAAATTAGGGTAATCTTCTTCATAATGATTTGTCAAGGATAAATACTTTGATAATTATAATTCTTAATAATAATAATAATAATAATAATAATAATAATAATAATAATAATAATGAACTTTATTAATTAAGTATCATGTCTTATAGCTCAGGCACAGAACCTTACTAATTGGGGAGACTGGCATCGGACATCTGACTAATGAAAAAATACCTACACCAACATGAATCCTGTAAATTGAGGGGCAAACTAAATACAGGTTTGACTGGGTCTGTTTTCGCTTACCAAGAGCATTGGTCTCATTCACCAACTGAACACTGATATCCTTGGTTACTATGCCAACAGATAGATCATTGGTTGAAGCCACGTCAAACAAGCACTCGTGATCATCTCCACATTGTTCTTCAGCCTCTTGCTTTAAACTATCGTTATGCCACGTGATATTGTCCGCGAACATAGGCTCAAAGTCAGGCTTGGAAAAAGTATGCACACTTTCGTTTGGAGCATACGTGAACAATGATTGAGATTGGTTGATTTGCCCTAAAAGTATACCAATATAAGCACCTTGATTGGTATCAAATTGTCTGTATAGTTTTCTCAACTTTTTTTATCAAATCACTTTCAAACGCGGCAACTTTATTGATTTTAAGCCGTTCTTTTCAGTAGTGTTGACGGAATTTCGCTAACTGTTCCTAGTCAAAAGTTAAAAAAACCGTGGAAGAATCTATTATGGTATAGAGTGTTTTCGCGTTTTGACGTCACGGTGGCCATATTGGTGTCCCAAAACAATGAAACGGCGGCCATGTTGGTGTCTTAAACCAATCCTGTGGGAGTTGAACTCTTTTCTCATGCAAACGCTTTCTTTTGTGCCAAATTAGCATAGACGCTGGCCACGTGAGTGAAAACAGTCTATTGTTAACCACCGAGAATTGTCTGGCCGCTAATTGTGGGTACATAATTTTAAACTATTTTTAAATAAATCGGTTTTTGTCGCCGTTGTAGTGATTTGGGTTAAGCACTGATAATAGTAATTAGGGTTATAGTGGTTAGGGTTAAGCATTGGCTCGAAATATTGGTATTGTCGTGTAGGCGATGGCTACCAGCCCCTACCCTTTCGCTCATAAAAATTAGAATTTCGTCTTCTTGTTATAATTGACAAGATGTTTGACTTTCACAAACACTTTCAGAAAATGGAAAAGACTTAGAAATTTCATTTCAGAACTTATGCGCTGTGATATTAGAACGAGGCGAAGCCCTTGAAAGAAATGGACCACAGAAAGCACCGTCGGTACAGTGATTGACCGCAGAGTGGTTACAAGGGCCGGACCAATACTTAAGGTCTTGAAATGACTGAGAAATTAAGGTACTTCCCTGCAAACGAGCATTTACTATTTTTATCATTTATGATGTTGATTCCCAATTTTTAAGCTGTAAAGTCATTTCAGAGAACAAAAGATAAGCAATTAAATGCACTACTTACACTTAACGCCAAATTTGAAGTGAATGTCTCTTAAAGTTAAAGACGAAGGCAGCTCTGTCCCATCAGGCAAGGTGAAGTCGTCATTTGCATTATCATTCCATGTTCCTAGCAGCCCTTTTGTGGTATTTTTATAATCATCGCCAGGAGTTACAATAAAGGACATCATTTCCTTTTTCTCGCAGAATTTTACAGATGTTAGAGATGGAAAGGAAACCTCGAGACAGTTGTCTTCTGGTTTCGAGATGGAGAGATTGCTCCCAACGTTCACACTGTCATTGGTCAGACTGCTGTAATTACTGTAAATTGTGTGGTCTATCAAAATATCAATTCCACCTTTTAGGGTAAGAAAAAAAGAATGTTGTTTTAAAAAATGATGCTTGTACACTGTAATACTGGTGAGGTTTTTTTGTCGTTGGAAGCTGCAATCCTGGTTTCCATATCATTGTTACCGTCACCTGCTAAGATCGCTAAAACGTCCAGTGGTCTGAACAATCATAGCAAACGTAGCAGCCACGTTTGCTGCTAAGACAAAGAAACCATACTAACCACAGAACTAACGTCTGTCACAGCGATCATTGGCGCAACGATTACTGTCATTGTTTCCTTTTTTTATGCAGCTATTCCAATTTTTATATGGACACTAGGCTTTGCGAGCCTCTTTTGGTAAAGATGATTGCCTTTTGAGGTGATGTTTGAATCAAATGCTTAGTTAAGTCCGCCGTGTGCGCTATATGAGTTGCATCCGTAACTATTCCTATATTATAGAAGGATTATAATAAGGATCTCTTCAACTGACTAGAGCCGGCACGGCCTCACTCTTAAGCTGAACTTGTTGGGCAAAAGCAACTTGGTTAGTCTGCTTTTACAAATTTCACCATCGCCCCCGCAGGATTTGTTTTCCGAAAATCTCACTGGCACTTCCATCACGAACAATCTGTCTTCCCCTAAATGCAGTGATTTTGTAACCCCCGCGTTATGTGTCTTTGACTCAAAAAAATTCCACAAGGACGCAAAAGAATTCCGGCATAAAGAATACACGGATTTTTTTCTTAATTTTTGCGGGTAACAATGTCTATTGGTTTTTTGCTTAATTCTTACCTCCTTTCTTCACTCTTACTTCAACGGTACTCGTGCTTTCTTCTTTAGCAGCTCCAGCTGCAAAAATAGTGGCAGTAGTCGAGTTTCCCTGGGCCAGGCTTGTTCTGGCTTGCAGTTGAAAGGTTCCGTTTTGTGCATCGATCATCACATATTCACCGAGGCCATTAAAAGTAAAATTCCCGCCATCCAGAGTCTTGAAATGAGGATCTCCCCAAAACCAACCTTTTGAATGGAAACGTCGAAACATTTAACGAAAGGATTATAACACTCGAGGTGATGAATCAGTCAGGCAATGCTCAATTCGGTCATTCCATTCAAGACATTGGTTGCTTATCATTTACAAATAGTTTCTAGAAAATACGGTTGGAAAAAAGAATAAAACACGACTTTTTGGGCCGCTCCATCGAAGAAAAATTCAGGAGCAACGGATCATCTGATAAGGTAGTTCCGTTTTCCCGGACGGGATGGTCCAAACGGAAATTCGTGTTCCTTTTCTTCAAAGCCGTCTTTTATACAAGTTTCAGGCCTTTGAGGCCGTTTTTGGGAAACGTGAACGGAACTGATATGTAAAAATGGTAAACGCGATTAAGGGAAAAATTTACCGGTTACTGTCCTAAATTTTGATTGCCATTTGAGCAACCGTTGACCGACCGGGCTGCCTTCGTAAGAGGTGAACAACCCTTTACTTGTTTCTTTTTTTCGTTTTTAGATCAGCCAGCCAGCCAGCCAGTCAGTCAGTCAGTCAGTCAGTCAGTCAGTCAGTCAGTCAGTCAGTCAGTCAGTCAGTCAGTCAGTCAGTCAGTCAGTCAGTCAAAAAAGCATTCCAGAGTTAGTCGGTCAATAAAATGATTTATTCGGTAAACGGCCAGCCCGTTTGTCCATCCCAGTCCTCTTAGTCGTTAGGGTCAGTAGATTCATATAATTCATTGTTTCAGTCAGTTAGTCAGTGAGCTTCCGCAATGGATAATTTGGCTAGTCGATTTTCTTTTCATTAATTAGGACGGTGGGTCGGTCAGTCGGCCTGTCGATCGGTTAGCCTGCGGGTAACCCGGAGTGCATACTCGCAGGCTGTTGATCAGTAAGTCTCTCGGTCGGTTGGTCCGTCGGCGAAGTGTTTCATCATCCAGTCAGTAGGTTATTGTGTTTGGCAAGGAGGAAAGAGAGCTTATTTTAGAGTATACGTACGTCTTCGTGGAGGTATATATCGCTGGCAGTCATCAGACGGGCGAAAAATGTAGAACAAATTACAGAATGGTATATCAACACAGCAATGTTTATAGGCCTGCTGGTCGTCGTAAACACTTTGATCACGATTCCACCCCCACCAATAGTAATAATAATGTAGTTGCATTTTAACATGGCTTCCGTCTGGTGATCCAATCTTAAGAGATGCCCAGTCTTGCCAATGCGTGGAATAACAGCAAAGTTGCCTCATGCTGAAATATACATATCCTCCATAAAAGTTATACCGAATATACTTTACTCGTCTGGATTCGAAGCACCAATCGGGCCAGGAATACTTTCGCCAGTCCCAGAAGAATCTTCTGTCAAACCAGGCTTGCCAACCTGAGCAAGGACAGGCCATGCTACTGTCCGACTTAACGAATCTGGCATGCCAATAGAGAAAGAGGATTTTCACTTGAAAGCGAGCCCAAGAGAGGCACCTTTCCAATGCTTTTTCTCCATCACTGTTCTCAATCCTCCAGAAGTACCTTCCCGTCAAGCCTGTGTTTCCTGCCCTCTTGTCCAGATCATACATTCCATACAAATTTCTCGAACTAAAAATAAACACGAAAAACACTTCAAAATTATTCTCGTTTGTTCTCAAACACAAATATTGTTTCTCAATTTCAAGATTATTCCAAAGCCGTCGTTATTTCAACCCATTTTGGTTTTCTGCAGCGAGTAACAAAGTAAGAAGTAATGTACTATAGTTCAAGAGGACAGAGATGACGTAACAGATTTTAAATTTCTTAACCCTACCCTTTCATGTTTAAATAGTGTTCGCCATTATCGCCTGCGTTCCACCCAGCAGCGGGAATTCCATACCAGTCTGTCCAGTACCGATAATAGTATCTGCAAAAAGAAGGTTAAATATGATACTTCAAAGTGCATAATTGATATCTGAAAACGTTTCATAAGTCAGAAACGTCAATAACCAAAAGAAAAAGCAACCTATAATTTCATCAGCTAACACCTTTCCACTCAGAAATGTACCACAACAAGTTAAACCCTTCCCCACTTTGTCCTTATCTTGTATATTGTCATATTCTTCTTGTTCACTTCATTCCATTTTTTCCACCTTGTTGTAAATTTTTTCCCTTTTTGTCGACCTGGATTTAGCGTGCACGCATTCCCTTAATTCTGGTTTCCATATGATCATCCGGATCGTCCCGATCGCCCCAGTCGTTTCAAAATATTTCGAGACGATCCCGACGACTGGGCGATTGGTAGTTTCCATATGATCGTCTCGATCGCCTCAAAGGCAAGAGAAGCGGGGTCGTCAGCGATGTCTCTGGGTCAGACAATAGAATTTTTGCGCGTGTTTTGCAAACAAGCCACATAAACGGATGATTTTTATTCGTACAGCGAACCTCGTATCTTGGTATTTGCTTTTTCTCTTGATTTTGCGGCATTGAGAAGCTAGAAGAGTTCCCCGAAGACATAGTATCTCTTCGAAAACTTGATGTCACGGACTTTCTCTAATTTCAAATAACCCCCATACGCGCTGCGAACATTTTTGTACTATTTTTTCGGCTTCAGCGCCATCCGGGCCGAATTTTTATTCTCGATTACTGGAATAAAAGTGATGACCTCTGGGATAGCCTTCAATCGTCCTGATCGTCTCAGTCGTCGGAGAGCGTTTCCATATGATCGCTTCAAAATTTACATGATCGTCCCGATCGTCCGGATAGAACTCAACTCTATCCAAGCGGTCGAGGTCGTCTCAGTCGTCCTGGTCGTTTGCGATCGTCTGGATAGCGTTTCCACATGATCGTCCCGATCGTCTGAACATTTTTTGAGACGACTGGGACGATCGGGACGATCCGGACGATCGTATGGAAACCAGACTTTAGACTGCTCAAGCGTTAACGAGCGTAAACTGAAGGCAACTAACGCAGAATAGCCTCATATTGAAAATTGTTTATAGCCATCATACAACTCAGGGAAAGATCGAGCTCTAAGAGTGAAGTACTCTTGATCATGCTGAATTATTCTAAGGACACCGTCATCCATAGAGCTTTATTGTTGTCATTGTGTGTTGAACCGCTTAATTTATGATACCATGAGCATGATTACGAGAGAAATCCTGGCTAAATTTTGAATTTTTTGACAGAGCGTTCTTACTTGCCGCGTGTTTGATGGTTGTACTTACGGTAAGACTGGAGCAACCCATTGAATTCCTCCATGAGGATAATTGAACATCAAAAACGAGTTGAGGAAATCTGTAATGATGACTGCTTGAAAGGTGTTGGACTGTAAAAAAGCAATGTTGAGTCAGCGAAGGTAATAGACATGGGAAGCACGCCATCTAGATATACCTTGAGAACAAGCTACCAATTATCTTTCATAGTTCTTGTTTCTCAACTGCTAAGAAAATGATCAACACAATGGTGATGATTGGAATTCTAATTTCCACACTTCTCGTTACAGCGATTAGAATTTTTATCATGTAAAAGCTAAGTAATTGTATTCACCTTTTATTAGTATTAATTCAAAATATTCCTCTGTTTTAAATCCCTAAAAATTTCGGCACGAGAGAAAGCTAACCAAATTTGAAATTTTACTACAATCTTAACATAACAGAAATTGTCTTGGGAGAAAGGCTTCAATCGTCAAATATGTAGAAATTAAAACCTACCAGGGCGTACTGCTGTGGTTCGGAGCATGTTTTTGGGTTTGTCTGTCCTGAGCAGCGTACAAATTTTTGCGAAAAAAAGTATTATGACATTGCTCTGAACATGGCTAAAAAAATGAGATCGTTGTCTTATGCAGTGGGTCATTCATGTTTCTTGTTTGTCCTAAGTAGGGTCCTCTGGGGGTTAAGATCGTCTACGCGAATATTTCATATTGGAAAATTAAAACTATCCTTTATTTTCAGAAACATACTCCATTACGGCAGTAAGCTTTTAATTACTTACCAAGGGACAATCAAGATTGGGTATACCCCAGTTGAACCAAGAGTAGTACCAATAAGGGTAGTAGACATAGGGACATAAGTTTTCCCAGGTTACAACCAGAACCCATTCCGCTTCAAAGGTGGAGAATTTTTCGCTATTGTCATACAGTCGAACATGTTTGGAGGCTTTGTCCAGAATTCTCCTTGTAGGATCAGTGACTTGACTGTACACGTGATAATATACTTTTGAATATCCAGCTTTGAAAGCCAAATACTGGTCCGTGAGCGCCCAGAATGGAGCGATGATTGCATAATTGCGAAACCATCTATACACACCGAACTTTTGCGGCCACCAAAAGCTCTCAAGGAGGAAAGAGAGCTTATTTTAGAGTATACGTACGTCTTCGTGGAGGTATATATCGCTGGCAGTCATCAGACGGGCGAAAAATGTAGAACAAATTACAGAATGGTATATCAACACAGCAATGTTTATAGGCCTGCTGGTCGTCGTAAACACTTTGATCACGATTCCACCCCCACCAATAGTAATAATAATGTAGTTGCATTTTAACATGGCTTCCGTCTGGTGGTCCAATCTTAAGAGATGCCCAGTCTTGCCAATCCGTGGAATAACAGCAAAGTTGCCTCATGCTGAAATATACATATCCTCCATAAAAGTTATACCGAATATACTTTACTCGTCTGGATTCGAAGCACCAATCGGGCCAGGAATACTTTCGCCAGTCCCAGAAGAATCTTCTGTCAAACCAGGCTTGCCAACCTGAGCAAGGACAGGCCATGCTACTGTCCGACTTAACGAATCTGGCATGCCAATAGAGAAAGAGGATTTTCAATTGAAAGCGAGCCCAAGAGAGGCACCTTTCCAATGCTTTTTCTCCATCACTGTTCTCAATCCTCCAGAAGTACCTTCCCGTCAAGCCTGTGTTTCCTGCCCTCTTGTCCAGATCATACATTCCATACAAATTTCTCGAACTAAAAATAAATACGAAAAACACTTCAAAATTATTCTCGTTTGTTCTCAAACACAAATATTGTTTCTCAATTTCAAGATTATTCCAAAGCCGTCGTTATTTCAACCCATTTTTGTTTTTTGCAGCGAGTAACAAAGCAGGAAGTAATGTACTATAGTTCAAGAGGACAGAGATGACGTAACAGATTTTAAATTTCTTAACCCTACCCTTTCATGTTTAAATAGTGTTCGCCATTATCGCCTGCGTTCCACCCAGCAGCGGGAATTCCATACCAGTCTGTCCAGTACCGATAATAGTATCTGCAAAAAGAAGGTTAAATATGATACTTCAAAGTGCATAATTGATATCTGAAAACGTTTCATAAGTCAGAAACGTCAATAACCAAAAGAAAAAGCAACCTATAATTTCATCAGCTAACACCTTTCCACTCAGAAATGTACCACAACAAGTTAAACCCTTCCCCACTTTGTCCTTATCTTGTATATTGTCATATTCTTCTTGTTCACTTCATTCCATTTTTTCCACCTTGTTGTAAATTTTTTCCCTTTTTGTCGACCTGGATTTAGCGTGCACGCATTCCCTTAATTCTGGTTTCCATATGATCATCCGGATCGTCCCGATCGCCCCAGTCGTTTCAAAATATTTCGAGACGATCCCGACGACTGGGCGATTGGTAGTTTCCATATGATCGTCTCGATCGCCTCAAAGGCAAGAGAAGCGGGGTCGTCAGCGATGTCTCTGGGTCAGACAATAGAATTTTTGCGCGTGTTTTGCAAACAAGCCACATAAACGGATGATTTTTATTCGTACAGCGAACCTCGTATCTTGGTATTTGCTTTTTCTCTTGATTTTGCGGCATTGAGAAGCTAGAAGAGTTCCCCGAAGACATAGTATCTCTTCGAAAACTTGATGTCACGGACTTTCTCTAATTTCAAATAACCCCCATACGCGCTGCGAACATTTTTGTACTATTTTTTCGGCTTCAGCGCCATCCGGGCCGAATTTTTATTCTCGATTACTGGAATAAAAGTGATGACCTCTGGGATAGCCTTCAATCGTCCTGATCGTCTCAGTCGTCGGAGAGCGTTTCCATATGATCGCTTCAAAATTTACATGATCGTCCCGATCGTCCGGATAGAACTCAACTCTATCCAAGCGGTCGAGGTCGTCTCAGTCGTCCTGGTCGTTTGCGATCGTCTGGATAGCGTTTCCACATGATCGTCCCGATCGTCTGAACATTTTTTGAGACGACTGGGACGATCGGGACGATCCGGACGATCGTATGGAAACCAGACTTTAGACTGCTCAAGCGTTAACGAGCGTAAACTGAAGGCAACTAACGCAGAATAGCCTCATATTGAAAATTGTTTATAGCCATCATACAACTCAGGGAAAGATCGAGCTCTAAGAGTGAAGTACTCTTGATCATGCTGAATTATTCTAAGGACACCGTCATCCATAGAGCTTTATTGTTGTCATTGTGTGTTGAACCGCTTAATTTATGATACCATGAGCATGATTACGAGAGAAATCCTGGCTAAATTTTGAATTTTTTGACAGAGCGTTCTTACTTGCCGCGTGTTTGATGGTTGTACTTACGGTAAGACTGGAGCAACCCATTGAATTCCTCCATGAGGATAATTGAACATCAAAAACGAGTTGAGGAAATCTGTAATGATGACTGCTTGAAAGGTGTTGGACTGTAAAAAAGCAATGTTGAGTCAGCGAAGGTAATAGACATGGGAAGCACGCCATCTAGATATACCTTGAGAACAAGCTACCAATTATCTTTCATAGTTCTTGTTTCTCAACTGCTAAGAAAATGATCAACACAATGGTGATGATTGGAATTCTAATTTCCACACTTCTCGTTACAGCGATTAGAATTTTTATCATGTAAAAGCTAAGTAATTGTATTCACCTTTTATTAGTATTAATTCAAAATATTCCTCTGTTTTAAATCCCTAAAAATTTCGGCACGAGAGAAAGCTAACCAAATTTGAAATTTTACTACAATCTTAACATAACAGAAATTGTCTTGGGAGAAAGGCTTCAATCGTCAAATATGTAGAAATTAAAACCTACCAGGGCGTACTGCTGTGGTTCGGAGCATGTTTTTGGGTTTGTCTGTCCTGAGCAGCGTACAAATTTTTGCGAAAAAAAGTATTATGACATTGCTCTGAACATGGCTAAAAAAATGAGATCGTTGTCTTATGCAGTGGGTCATTCATGTTTCTTGTTTGTCCTAAGTAGGGTCCTCTGGGGGTTAAGATCGTCTACGCGAATATTTCATATTGGAAAATTAAAACTATCCTTTATTTTCAGAAACATACTCCATTACGGCAGTAAGCTTTTAATTACTTACCAAGGGACAATCAAGATTGGGTATACCCCAGTTGAACCAAGAGTAGTACCAATAAGGGTAGTAGACATAGGGACATAAGTTTTCCCAGGTTACAACCAGAACCCATTCCGCTTCAAAGGTGGAGAATTTTTCGCTATTGTCATACAGTCGAACATGTTTGGAGGCTTTGTCCAGAATTCTCCTTGTAGGATCAGTGACTTGACTGTACACGTGATAATATACTTTTGAATATCCAGCTTTGAAAGCCAAATACTGGTCCGTGAGCGCCCAGAATGGAGCGATGATTGCATAATTTCGAAACCATCTATACACACCGAACTTTTGCGGCCACCAAAAGCTCCATTCATAATTCAGTTGTAATTTTCCATTGCGGCATATCTGCAAAATACAGTCGATAAAATTGCCTTACTTTTTCATATATAAGTTTCGATTTTTATCCCAGTTCTCTGGAATGTGCGAAAACAAAAATAAATGTGGATCGCCGAAAATATAAATCCTTAATTCAATTTAACCGCCACACAAAAATAAGAAAAACAGATTTTTCGCAGTCGTTATAAGTCACTTTCTTTCCAAGGGAGATAATAAATAAATAAATAAATAAATAAATAGATAAGTAAGTAAAACTATTTCAATAAACAGTAGAAAAAGACCCACTTTGTATCCACTTTCAACACACTATAAAATTTATATGGCGATTAACAAAACTAGTTTCGTCTAACGACCTCTTTAGTTGATCGCCACGGTATCATGCATGCACATGCATGCATGCATGCATGTATGCATACATACATACATACATACTCTTCCCCAACGGGGATTTTCAGAGACAGCAATTAAAAAAAATCTATAATATACTCATAATATTTCAACAATAAGAACTATTTAATTAAAGTAAAATATGAATAAAAACTATAAAAAAGATTAAGTAAATATAGTACAAATACAATAAAAGGATAAAATGAGTCTAAAAAAATATTGCAAATAGTAGAAGTCAATTTTAATAAAGTATCGAGACAAAATTACGTAAGAGGCTTAATTTAGGTATCGTTTAAAATGGCTCACTGATTTCCAAAGTTTAAGATCATTTGATAAAAAATTTCATCAGGTGACTCTTCTCTAGTAAAAGAATCTTTGGCCGCTAAGTGGTTCTAAAAAGAGGAATTTCTTGATTTGCAGACTGTACCGTCGCATCGTCTGAACTGTGTGGATAGGTATCCTGGGGCACGTCCCGTCATGCACTTGAATGCCATTATGGCATCTCGCTAGTAGAGTAGCTCATTAACAGGCTACCAGCGCAATTGCTGTAAAGATGGAGTTATGCGGTCGAATCTCCGTTTCCGCTTACAATACGACAGGCGAAATTTTGGACTGCCTGTAACTGTTCGAGAGCTTTTACTCCAAACAGTGAAGCAATAGAACACTTTACTAAAAAAAATGTATTTATTATAGTAGTAAGAGATTGCCTGGCGAAAGAGTGCCTAGAACTTGCTTAAATTTGTTTGAGAGGTGTTACTCCAAACAGTGGAGCAGTAAAACAGTTTACTAAAGACTAATGCAGTTGTCATAGTAGTAAGAGACTGCTTGCCGAAAGAGTGCTTACTTCGATTTATCTGAGCGAGACGTGACATAGACGATGAAACAGGTTGTATTACTTGCTCATTAAAAGTTAGATTTCAGTCCAAAATAAAACCGAGGTCTATAGCAGTTATTGCAAGGTACAAGCTCCTTCCCAAGAAGGGACAGATAAAAAACGTTTACTTTTGCAATATTTTGTCTGCTTTCAAAAATCACTAAGTTCGTCTGGTTTGGGTTGGTTGTCAAAGCAACAGTTCCGGATTTTGAGCAAATCTTGGATTCATTCTATTTCTGACTGTGGTACAAAGGATAACAGAAGTTTCGTACTGTCAACATAGCATTGTGGGGTGCAGTGCTGCATGACCACCGTTAGTTATTTGCACGCGGTCTGACAGAGCAGTGTTGATGGGTACGACTTGGCATCGGGACAACAGATAACTCGGAGCCACTGCTTGGTGGTGGAAGATGCACCAATATCCTAAAGTTTGGCCAGTAGAGTTCCATGGTGTAAGCTATCAAAAGCCTTACTCATATCGAGAAGAACTATTGGGGTTAAGTGTTTGTCGTCAATAGCGCGTAGTATCTGATCGGTAGTTTGAATCAATGTGGTCTCATTTGTGTGGTGTTGATTATTTCCGCTCTGTTTCGCGGTCAAACGTTACTTTGAAAGTTGATGAGTGGTAAATTGGTTATGAGCCACTCTTGCGCACACTTTTGACAAAGCTGACAAAAGTGAAATTGGCCTATTGTTATTGGGTACCCTGGTGATTGCTACTTTTAAGGATGGGTGTCACCTCAACCAACTTCCCCGCTTCTGGGAATGTATTGGTGGCGAAGGACGTTTTAATGATAGACGTGATAGAGGGCAGTATTAAAGGAAGACAATCTTTAATTACTCTTACCTCTTACCATGCCAGGTGCTTTGTGTGTTGCCATTGAATTATCAACTGCTTCTACCTGTTTGTTTTCTACAGCGTATAAAGTGAATTGCTCTGATGTCGCGTAAGTTCTTGGAGTGAATGCGGTATTTTTGACCTCATAATCAACTTTTGACGCTAATTCAGTGATCTCCTTTACAGTATTTCCGCCGACATTTGCCACAGTTTTTTCATTTTTGGCCGTAAATTCGTTGCGTTTGTGACTTGTTCGGTTTGCATAAGTGAATTGTTTTCCAAATAGAGCTCGTACTGTTTTTGTTATTTTCAATCCGCTCCATCACAAATTCTCTTTCCGCAACTCTAATTTCATGTTTGAACTCTCTTTGAAAATTTCTTCGCAAAAATTTCTTTCTTTCTCTCGCGTTTAAAACTTCTTAACATGCACTTTACAAATCAAATGCTCCTAGTGCGACAAAATCAGTGAGCGAAATCACCAGGGTCTACAACCTCTCCTCTTTTTGAGCCGCAGTGTGGATTCGCTTATTTTTACGTTCCCTTCTAATTAACAAGGACGAAAAAGGAGCCAAGGCCAACGGCATAAAGTCGACATCTACTTGAACTTATAGGAAGCTTAGGCAACGACGACGGTAGTTAAAACGTCCTTTCAAACTTTATCTCGTCTACATGTACTTAGACACTTTCAATTTGTCAGTTGGGGGCGATTCCTCATGGAGTTGAATTCTTAAATGAGGACTTTATCCACGCTTAAAAAGACTGAGAAAGAAAAATTATTGTCGACTATTTACCTCCTCGATAAAACGTCGCAATGGGAGGTTTCACGTCGTAGTCGTGAACATCAAAGAAATGCCGTAAAAGCGTGATGCAAGTGCAGAGCTGTTGCTTTGCTCAAAAACCATTTGTTTTTTGACGTTGTCTTTGCCGTCGTCGATGTGTTTCCTTTGGCTCCCAAATACTCTAAGAGCCAGGAAAGTTATTCTGGGTCAAAATATTTAGCGGATAAATCGGTATAGGCATTATATTAAAGATAAACAACAGAGATATTTTTAAATTCCTCGTACCGAGCTAGTAAAATAAGCTAAAATAGGTTTGAATTCTACACCGCTGATCTCTATTTCGGGTGCTTAACAAGTCCCTGTTTCTTCTGCGTTATTTCCACTATCTGAACGCTGGGAACAAGCTAACTTGCACTAGAAGTGGTCTAACCGGATGGCATGTAAGTTGTGATAAACTAAAAATGGTGGACTAAAGTTTTTCAAAGTCACAACTTGAATGCGTCCAGTCTTCCCCGGGCACCTATGCCTGTAAAAATGACCCCAAATTCGGAGTTAAATTAGGAGTTAAAATAACCCCAAAAAAGGGGTTATCCTGTACCTAAAATTTTTACTCCATTTTTGGAGTTATAATAACTCCCTAAAAATTACGGTGTGGTAAATTGGTTATGAGCCACTCTTGCGCACACTTCTGACAAAGCTGACAAAAGTGAAATTGGCCTATTGTTATTGGGTACCAGGTGATTGCCACTTTTAATGATGGGTGTCACCTCAACCAGCTTCCCCGTTTCTGGGAATGTAATGGTGGCGAAGGACGTGTTAATGATAGACGTGATAGAGGGCAGTATTAAAGGAAGACAATCTTTATTTACTCGTACCGGAATTTTTTCCATGCCAGGTGCTTTGTGTGTTGCCATTGAATTAACAGTTGCTTCTACCTGTTTGTTTTCTACAGCGTATTAAGTGAATTGCTCTGATGTCGCGTAAGTTCTTGGAGTGAATGCGGTATTTTTGAGCTCATCATCAAATTTGGACACTAATTCAGTGATCTCCTTTACAGTATTTCCGCCGACATTTGCCACCGCTTTTTCATTTTTGGCCGTAAATTCGTTGTGTTTGTGACTTGTTCGGTTTGCATAAGTGAATTGTTTTCCAAAAAGAGTTCGCACTGTTTTTGTTATTTTTAATCTACTCCATCGCAAATTCCCTTTCCGCAACTCTAATTTCATGTTTGAACTCTCTTTGAAAATTTCTTCGCAAACATTTCTTTCTTTCTCTCGCGTTTAAAACTTCTTAACTGACATGCACTTTACAAATCAAATGCTCCTAGTGCAACAAACTCAGTGAGCGAAATCACCAGGGTCTACAACCTCTCCTCTTTTTGAGCCGCAGTTTGGATTCGCTTATTTTTACGTTCCCTTCTGATTAACAAGGACGAAAAAGGAGCCAAGGTCAACGGCATAAAGTCGACATCTACTTGAACTAATAGGAAGCTTAGGCAACGACGACGGTAGTTAAAACGTCCTTTCAAACTTTATCTCGTCTACATGTACTTAGACACTTTCAATTTGTCAAATGAGGGCGATTCCTCCTGGAGTTGAATTCTTAACTGAGGACTTTATCCACGTTTAAAAAGACTGAGAAAGAAAAATTTATTGTCGACTATTTACCTCCTCGATAAAACGTCGTAGTCGTGCAGTGAACGTCAACGAAATACCCTAAAAGCGTGATGCAAGTGCAGAGTTGTTGCTTTGCTTAAAAACCATTTGTTTTTTGACGTTGTCGTTGCTGTCGTCGATGTGTTTCGTTTAGCTCCCTAATACTCTAAGAGCCAGGAAAGCTATTCTGGTTCAAAATATTTACCGGATAAATCGGTGCAGGCATTATTTTAAAGATAAACAACAGAGATATTTTAAAATTCCTCCTACCGAGCTAGTAAAATAGGCTTTTGAATTCTACACCCCTGATCTCTATTTCGGGGGCTTAACAAGTCCCTGTTTCTTACGCGTTATTTCCATTATCTGAACGCTGGAAACAAGCTAACTTGCACTAGAAGTGAGCTAACGTTTTTCAAAGTCACAACTTCAATGCATCCAGTCTTCCCCGGCCACCTATGCCCTTTCCCTGGCTTTTCCGTTTTTGTCGGTGTGTTGTTTTACGATTTTAGCTCAAGTCAGTCTGAGTCAGTAGGGACCTTAAGCAACACGACGACGACGGCAGTGAAAACTTCGCAAAAAAAAAATGAATTTGCCTTCCTTGAAGCTCCCTTATAATATGATCCGCTGGCCTGAAACTCATCATTAGTATTTCTATGGCCCTTCTCTACTTCCAATAAAGACGAAGGTATCCTCTATTTGAAAAGAAGATCAGTCGCACTCTGAAAAACAGTCAACGTCTGGCTGCTTTCTGGGAAATTGGGACTTTAACTTCCCCGTCTTAGTTTATTATTTGTCTCCCCGATTGGTCATCACTTGTGCTAAGCTAGAAGCTTGAGACTTAAATAAAGTTATTATTGTTATTATTATTATTATTATTACACATTAATGAACCACACTTACATGTAATTTGTAATGCCTCTCATTGAAGAATGGAAATCCAAAGCGATCTGCTTTGAGTTCCAAGCAGTGGCCATAGTAGTAATAGTAGGAGTCGCCAAGACGAAACTCGCTATCACCGTTGTCCGAACCATAGGGATACATGTTGCTCTGCACTGAAAATAAAAATTGTACTTATACACTGAAACATCAAGTTATGTAGATCAAAACACGATATATCTATATCTATCTATATATAATGTATATATCTGTCTAGGTTTGCTGAAACGTGGCTAAAGAAATTTCAAGTGCATATTTTAACAATTTGATATCTAAGTCGAAAAGTTACTAGCTGAGTGAAACGTCCAGAAATTATAACCTTTTAGTCAGTCAAACCATGAGGCCCAGGGCTAAGTGTCTGCCGAAGACAGATTAAGAATCAACGATCTTTGAGTACAGAATAGTCTTTCTAAGACAAAATTAGCAAAACCAGGAGCCCATCAAATGGAGCCTCCATCTCCCATACAAGCCCTTGGAGTCAACCCTTTCCCGAGTAGATTTATGATTAGAACGGTTTCCAGGGGAGACTTCGCGCGCCGACGGTGGGAAGAGCCAATCACAACGACGAAATGACACTGCTATTGTACCTCATCAAACAGCAGGAAATTCGTTGTTGACAGGCCAAACACAATCATAAGCTAGTGAAACGTGACTTAAGCGTTTTCATCACTCAGAGATTTTCTTTATTTTTTCTTTCTAGCGGGTAGATTATACTGTGGAGAATTCTAAACTCTGACTATTTTAATCTTAATTTTGGTCGCTTGTCTCACATTAAGAGGCCATGAAGCTGGTCTGTTACATGCATAATGATTAACTACTACCCCGGTGCAGTCTGTAGTTCTGACAGGATTCGTTTTCTTTAGCCAATTTCTTTGAGCGTTAAGGTTCTTATTTCGGCTAAATGACTCAGTATTAATCAAATTTCTAGTTTTTCAAGGTTTTTTTTTTCCGAAATGCCTTTATCTGAATAAATACTTGTAGACCTTGTGGTTTTGTCCGTCAGCTAGTGTGATAATTCCCTGCTATGTTTTGTAACGCCGGGTCCAGCCATTGTCTTCTCGCAAAAAAGTGATCTACAGATGCGAATTCGAAGGAAGGAATTGAGCCTAACTTTCTACATTAACTGCTGAGAATTGTCCCGTTAGTCAGTCATAATTCTTTTGGCGCAGATACAATCCATTTTGTTTTTCTTGAGATAAGTGGGTCTTTGGACTGTAGCGCTGTCACAAATTCCTCCGTTAGCAAATTACTTTTGAGTTAGCTTTACGGTCGAGCAACTGTTGTCTTCTGTTCAACTTTTCAAGTGCCAGTTTTATCAGGCAACTCTCATGGTGATACAAGTCAGTTGTAAAGGAAGACTGCAATTTCTCAAATTTCGGAACTGAAGCATTCCTCGTTAGTTGCTACTTAGGTCATCGCTTTTGCACGCGGTTCTTAACTGGCGAAATCCACTCCACGGTGAGGACAAAAATCAAATGATCCTGGCACTTTTTCGGCGCTGATCATCGAAAAGTTCCAAATCGTCGACATAACGCTTAATCGTCGACTCTTTTCAAGGTGCATGCTTAAATGTGGGATGTATGACAGCAATATAAACACTCGCAAAGATAACCTTTCCGTGATCCTCAGTTCGCTGCCTTTGTCCCATCGCTTCATGCTCAGTCTCAGTCGGGTAATTCATGAACTTTTGTTTCATGATACCCAGATCCCAGCGGCTGTAATATTGGACGAAAAGGAAAAAAGGAAAACGGTCGAAGGACGGGCTTCTGAGTTCGACTTCATCCAATTTTATTTTTTCACGGTGACACACGAGACTCACGGAAATATAACACTTTTCGCGGGAAACTAGCCGTTCTATTTATAAATCTACTCGGAAAAGGGTTGACTCAAGAAATTAATGGAGATGAGGCTCCATTTGATGGGCTCCTGGCAAAACTAAACAATCACGAAGCGTTTTTATGCTTGGCACAAAGTCTTCTGGTAACACGAGCTCAACCACATTTTTTACCTGAGTTTTGTCTGTCAAAGCCATCGGTAAATCACAATAAATGACCTTCGCGGCAATTACAATCTTTGAGCACAGAATAGGCTTTCTAAGACAAAATCACCTAAACTAAAGACTCGCAAATCGATCACGATGTGTTGTATTAAATGCTTGGTACAAAGTATTATGGTAACACGAGCTCAACCACATACCTGAGTTTTGTATGTCAACGCCTTCGGCAAATCACACAATAAATCACTTAGCTTTCGGAGCAATGATAACACCCTTGAAAAACACTCATAATATTCCGTCGTAATATTTTCGTCAAATGACTCAGAAAAGCTCTCGCGTTCATGTTCTCAACATAAAACACACGTAAACACTAACACAGTCGATTTTTACGAGATCCCGAATGTACCCCAGGTTTTTTAAAAAGGACAGATGAAGGGCCTGCCTATAAACGTTTGTAACTAAGTCTCTGGCCTGGTGAGAAATCAGCTCAACTTTTCGCTCTCCGAATAGACTTGGCTCCTAGAACCTACTTTCTGCAGAGGCCAGAGACTCGTCACCACCCGGAACAAAGCTCTCAATATCGATACCTTTCCGTCTCGAGCCCGAGATCAGTGTTTCACCCGTATAACCAAATGAAGCGAAATACGGTAAGATATTGGACAAGGACGACTTTGCCAATCGTGAGACTTGTTACTTCATAATATAACGCTTAATAATGCCTTCCGGAAAACTTTTCTCCAGGTAGCTAAGAAGAAATCTAGAAAATTAAGTCAGAATGTTGGGAAAATTAAAATCAGGATGTTTGCAAAAAAATCCTGCAGGTATCTTTTTGCAAATTCCGACAAATGTATATTGAAAGATTTAGTTTGATCAGACTTACAGCTAGAGCAGCTCTTCCCTACAAAGAGAGGGGCGCATAAGCAATTGTAGTCATTCATTCCGTCAATGCAAGTCCCACCGTTAAGACACGGGTTTGGATAACAGTCGTCGGTGTCTACAAGGAGAAACAAAGATTTGAAAACCATTAAGGTGATAAGTGAACGTAAATCTTAAAAACTGATAATGATACTGAGATTCAGTGATATTTTTAAACTTACTATTAGAGCAGTTCTTCCCTACAAAACCAGGCACGCATATGCAATTGTAGTCATTGACTCCGTCTATGCAAGTCCCATTGTTTAGACACGGGTTTGGATAACAGTCGTCAGTGCCTAAGGAGAAACAAAGATTTGAAAACCATTAAAGTGATGAACGTAAATCTTACAAACTGATATGGATACTGAGATTCAGTGATATTATTAAACTTACTATTAGAGCAGTTCTTCCCTACAAAACCAGGCACGCATGTGCAATTGTAGTCATTGACTCCGTCTATGCAAGTCCCATTGTTTAGACACGGGTTTGGATAACAGTCGTCAGTGTCTAAGGAGAAACAGAGATTTGAAAACCATTAAGGTGACAAGTAAACGTAAGTCTTAAAAACTGATATGGATACTGAGATTCAGTGATATTTTTAAACTTACTATTAGAGCAGTTCTTCCCTACAAAACCAGGCACGCATGTGCAATTGTAGTTATTGGCTCCGTCTATGCAAGTCCCATTGTTTAGACACGGGTTTGGATAACAGTCGTCAGTGTCTAAGGAGAAAAAGAGATTTGAAAACCATCAAGCTGGTAAGTGAACGTAAGTCTTAAAAACTGATATGGATACTGAGATTCAGTGATATTTTTAAACTTACTATTAGAACAGTTCTTCCCTACAAAACCAGGCACGCATGTGCAATTGTAGTCATTGACTCCGTCTATGCAAGTCCCATTGTTTAGACACGGGTTTGGATAACAGTCGTCAGTGTCTGAGAAGAGAAGGACATGGTAAGGATTGACGACAATAAAATATCCATATCTCTTCACGGAAAATATAATTATACGAGATTGAGATTACGCATGAATTCACGGGAATCAGTTTTTTCCACATTTGCACTTCAGAAGCGAAATTCTTTTGAAACCAATCTTGGCCAAATTAGTAATGTCCAAGGCATATGTATAGAGGGAAGGTGCTTTTAAGTTAAAACAAGAGGTGAGGAAACTTCATACCTGTAATTTATGCAAAATTACTTTTCCAAAAGGAACGAGCGAGGTAGTGCGCCGGTTTACTTGAAATATGATTACCATTCTCTGTTCACAAGTCCGAAAACTCAATATATACTAAAAGAATTGATTTTAAAAGACTTACTATTTGAACAATTCTTCCCTACAAAGCCAGGCACGCATGTGCAGTTGTAGTCATTCACTCCGTCTGTACATGTTCCGTTGTTCAGACACGGGTTTGGATAACAATCATCAGTGTCTGAGGGAATAGTTAAAATAAACTGATAGACTTGGCGACCATCAACTATTATAAACTACACCAATTGACAAGAATAGCCCTTTTTACCGATACGGCGGCCATATTGAATTAATTCCATTTTAAGAGTATTATAGGATACCCAGGGGGGCATGAGCACATTTCGTTTGTATTTTCGAGCGCTTTTCGGGACATTTTTTCTTAAAGTTTTCTTAGAATAAGATTGTAATGGGAAAACAGATGCTTGTGCCGTGTTTGGATGTAATAATGATCGCCTTTTTCCCGAGAAAATATACAGTGAGAGACCATATTTCTGATACTAAACTAGAAAAAGGCGATCATTATTACATCCAAACACGGCACAAGGATCTCTTTTCCCATTACAATCTTATTCTAAGAAAACTTAAGGAAAAAATGCCCCGATAAGCGCTCGAAAATACAAACGAAATGTGCTCATGCCCCCTGGGCATCCTTTAATACTCCTTAAATCGAATTGATTCAATATGGCCGCCGTATCGGTAAAAAGGTCTATTATCTTTTTGCGCGAAGCGATTTATATTCTTTATTGGTGAAGCGTAAGACACATACTGTTGTTGTAACTGAGAAGCTTTTCCAGATAGGTAATGAACCAATCAGATGAATTGAGTCGCATTTCCCCCATGGATGAATAGTGTTTCCTATTCTTTTATGGAAGAGAGGGATAGAGGAGTGAATATTCGTACTGGGGAAAAAAAATATTTGGTACTGGGGAAAGAGCTTTTTTGGA